ACGGCAGAGACAAACAGAGGAAGTGGGGCAGGAAGGGAGAAAGGGCAGGGGGGGGTGGGACAAAATGGAGGGCAGAATGGACCAACAAATGGAGGGCATAATGGAGGGCCAAACACACAGCCACATTTGCACACACATGCATCTGCACTAAACGCAGAAAGACCAACAGGCAGACAGTCAAATATACAAATATAGGTTGAAATGGACATCTGGATGGTCCTGGGTAGAACTGCAACATCATTACACTACCTTGATGAGCCCGAAACTGTTGAGGATTCATAGATGCAAAAGATACCCCCGTTCCTGCACACGGCCAAAGCAAATGTACTCTGCATCAGTTTTCCATATGGAAAGAATTACTTAAAGAATTTACCACCATCAGCTGGGGCAGACATGTGAGTAGCAATCAATGATATCCATCCAGTTTCCCACTTTCAGATACATTACATTTCTGATTGTGACAACAATCGAGCATGAAACACATGGGAGGTAAGCACATCGAACACATAGCAAAGAGCGATTTCAAACAATGACACAAAGTTTTAACGTTGAAACAAAGAAAACCCATGGTTCCGATTGTGACAACAGTCGAGCATGAAACACATGGGAGGTAAGCACATGGAACACATAGCAAAGAGCAATTTCAAACAATGACACGAAGTTTTAACGTTGAAACAAAGAAAACCCATGGTAGAGAGAAAGAAATCACGAATCAGAGTTGTAAAGGGGTCGGTGAACTGAAGGGATACACAAGACCACGTAGATGGATCTTAGAAAAAATACCACCTGAACCAGCCCAATTAGTGCTAGTCCGAGAGACGTACCTGGTGGAGAGGAGGTCGGCATTGGTGTTGACATCATCAGGGCCCTATGTCGGGAGAAGAGAGAGGGAGAAGAGAGACGTACCTGGTGGAGAAGAGAGTGAGGGAGAAGAGAGAGACGTACCTGGTGGAGAAGAGAGAGACATACCTGGTGGAGAAGAGAGTGAGGGAGAAGAGAACAAATCAGGGCCCTATGTCGAGGCATAAACCCTCGCACTCCCTCCTCCTTTACTTCGCTAGTCCTCTGAGAAGTCGTTACACAGCAGGCTGCTTTCCTTTCAAGTTTCGCTCATAACTTGATATAATTTGGGCAGCAGTCTTCATTAGCTCTTCTCTTGTGAACCATCGATCTTCTTTAGGATCAGTATGGTGTTTGAACCGCACTCGGTACTGCATCTGCGGTTTCCAAGGGCGTCGCCTGCGTGGAGGCTTGGGCACATGAATCAGCTTGTGCTCAACAATGTCATCAATGTCCACGTGTCCGTCCATGGTTGGGGGCAGCCTTGATCGCCTGGAGGGAAACTGTTCTGTTTCAGCGAAGGGGCCAACTTGGATGCATGGAAATCAGGGTGTGTGCGGAGGTGACCAGGGATGCGAATAACGTATGATGGGCCATCCGCTTGATCCCCTACTATGTCCAGAATTTCCCAAGGTCCAAAGTACGGCAGCATCAGTTTATGTGAGATTCCCAACTCCGGTCCCAACTCAGATGACTTTACCCAGATTTGTTCACCTACCTAAAATGCAAACAGTCGTATGTTTGTTCTCAGATGCAACCATGGCATCCTGAGCTTTCTTGATGTTCTCTACAGCCTGCTGCAGCATCTGTTTGTGCTTGACAGAAAACTGCAAACTCTATGCTACAAGGCGCTGCGGTTTGCTGGTTTTCAGGCAACAGGAAGGCAAGAGCAGAGATGGGCTTCCAACAAAGATCCAGCTGGTTGGGGGTCTTACCGGTAGTGCAGTGCACATCATTGTTGTACAGGCTGGCGATGAGAGGTAATGTCTCATCCCAGTCATCTTGACTTGGCTTTTAATATAATGCCGAAGCAAGTGCTGCACTACCCGGTTCATCTGCTCAGCCTGCCCATTTGACTCAAGGTTGTTCCCTGATGTCATTTGCAGTTGGGTGCCCATCTGTTGGGCTGTACTTTGCCATAGTTCGCTAGTGAATCCGACATCCCTGTCGCTCACAATCGACTTAGGGAGACCGAAGTCACGTACCTAGTTGTCCATAAATAGCGAGAGACGGTTAACGGGGGCCCAAATATTTGCCGTTTTCGTTGGCAATTGCGGTGCGAATTTCATCAAAATTTTTAAAAACAAACGATATGACACCATAGTGCAAACATCAGAAAAGGAAACAGGCCAAAAAAAACGAAAAAAAAAAAACAAAAAAACACTATGACACCCTAACACAAAGACACTGTCCGAGTCAAAATGAAGCGTCCAACGAATTCAACAAAATGCCAACTTTTTCATTATTGATCCAAACATGCCCAAACTGCACACATGACGTACCCTAAAGCACATATATATATATAACACAAAAAGAAAAACAAGAAAAAAAGCAAAAAATCAGCACAATATGACAGTTTCAGTGCAATTCGATGCAAAATTCGTCGAAAATAACACCCCTGGTTAACCACGTGTGCATGATGATGTGGTCAGTCTTAATATTCTCAGGCATAGCGATTAGTCTAGCATACTTAGTGAACCTGTCCACAATGACGAAGATGTGTCATTTACCGCTCTTGCTTGTCACAAGGGTATCCTTGAAATGCATGGACACACTTTGACCTAGGCCAGCAAGGATGGGCAAGGGCTTGATAAGCCCAAGCGGTTCTTGCATTCGTGGCTTGTCACGCTGGCAAACCTGGCAAGTTTCTACATACTTCTTTGCATCATCCATCATTGTGGGCCACCAAAATCGTTGCAGTAAGTTCGCTGCTGTCGTTTTATAACCCAAATGTCCGGTTGCATCGTGACACTCACATAAAAATAAACTACACAAAGATTCTTTATTTGGAACACACAAACGTTTACCGTCAACCAGCTCAAACTCATCGAAAGTAGCTTTGTCTTTAGTTTCCAGTTTGCGGATGATCTCAGACATGACCACATCCTCTTGATAGACTTCCACCATACACAAAGTTACATCGTCAAAAATTCCAAACTCAGTCACTAGCGTGCCCAGATAGTCTGCCCTACGCGATAGTGCATCAGCCACTTTGTTTTACTCTCCTTTCAGAGGGTCGAGCTTGAAGTCGTACATATCTACGACTTCAATCCACCTTTCGAGTGCGTCGGAGAGTACGGGCTGTGTCTTAATCCAACGCA